TCGTTCAACATACTTTTCCTGTGACAACCACAGCTTTCCAACTCTCCTATCCCGAATAATATCCATACCAAAAATCTGCTTTGCTAGACCTAAATATTTCATATCAAAGGACTTAGACAATTGTTCTTTCAACCTGTAAACCATACTAGCATCTTGTCTTACAATCAACATATCATCAACATATAATAATAGGATAATGAAGTTACCATTAAAGAATTGTTTAACATACACACAAGAATTCACTGTTGTTCTTTTATAGCTATGACTCACAATAAAAGAATCAAACTTCTTGTACTACTATCGCGAAGCTTGTTTCAAGTCATACAAGCTTTTCTTCAATTTACAAACTAAGTGCTCTTTCCTTTTCATTTCAAAACCCTCAGGCTGATTCATATAAATGTCCTCTTGCAAATCACCATGCAAAAATATAGTTTTAACATTAAGTTGCTCAAGCTCAAGATTCAAACTAGCTGCTAAACCCAGTACCACTCGAATAGAACTCATCTTTACAACTGGAGCAAAAATCTCATCAAAATCGATGCCTGATTTTTGAAAAAAAACCTTTTACTACCAATCGAGCTTTGTACCTCACTAGTTTGTCACCATCTTTTTTCAACTTGAACACCCATTTATTCTTTAATGGCCTATTCCCTGTTGAAAGTTTAACAAGATCATAAATATCATTCTTTCACAATGACTCCATCTTTTTTTTATTACTTTTAACCAGTACTCTCTATTCGGAGTAGCTTGCACATCTTGGAAGCTTTTTGGCTCCTCTTCACTGGTAACTAAAATAAAATCTGAACTTTAATACCTAGTAGATGGCCTGCGCTCTCTAGTAGATCTCCTAAGCTAAGACTCTACATCACTTAATGCCGAAGGTAGCTCCTCCTGCTCAAAACTAATTGCATTTGACTCATCACCAATTATGGCTGGCTCATTAATATTCTCAAGTTTTGTTTCTTGCTTATTTTCACCATCTGTAGCTTTTTTCTGTGAAATCCCTATCGGTGTTGAAACATCACACTCAACAGTAACTCGTGTAGTCTTCTCATTTTTTTCAAGGTCTGTTATGGTTTGTTTTCATGAAAGACCACATATTTACTTCTGACTGTCTTTTTCTTTACTGGATCCCATACCCTGTAACCAAATTCTTCATCAGCATATCCTACAAACACACACTGTGTGGCTTTACTATCAAGCTTTGATCTCTGTATTTCGACACATGCATGAATGCTTTACACCTAAAAACTTTCAAGTGAGAATATGAAGTATCTTTTCCTGTCCACACTCTATTTGAAATGTCAAAACCCAAAAAAATCGATAGTGATCTGTTAAGTAAATAGCAAGTCGTGTTAACTGCTTCACCCCAAAATGGCTTTGGTAATTTTACCATCCTCAACATACATCTGATTTTTTCCATAATGGTACGATTCATTCTTTTAGCTATACCATTATGCTGCAGTATTTTAAGTTCTATCATTTCATGCCTGATCCTATGCTTTGAACAATATTCTTCAAAGTCTTTAGATGTGTATTCCCCACCATTATCAGTTCGAATACACTTCAAGGATAACCCTATCATCCTTTCAACCATAACATAAAATTTTTAAAAATACTGCAGTATCTGACTTTTATATTTCAACATATACATTCAAGTCTTACGTGAAGCATTATCAATAAAAGTAACAAAATATTTGCTACCACCTAATGACTCAACCTCAATGGGGATCACATATGTCAGAATAAATTAATTCCAATCTATTTTTTTTCTCTGAGAACTTTTATGAAAAGAAACTCTATGATGCTTACCAAACAAACAATAATCACATGAATCGAGAGACATACATTTGGTCAAGGGAATAAAAGACTACCTTGCCAAAACCTGTAACCCCTTTTCACTCATGTGTGCCAGCCTCATATGCCATAAGTTTGCTGAAACATTATTTTCAACGATATTTACCTGGTTACCGTTCAATTGCATCCATGTTTTATATATTGTGCATCATAGTTTTCCCCTTGCAACTACCATAGATTCTTTGAGAAGCTTCCAATGTCTATTCTTTTGTCAGCTTTCATATCTCTCCTTGTCAAAGACATTAATAGCAAGCAAGTTCATTCTCATATCTTAAATATGTCTGACATCCCTCAAAGTCAACATACAACCTATACTAGTTTGTACAACAATATCACCAATCCCAACAATCTGTGACACACTCTTGTTTCTCATCTTGGTACAACCAAAGTATCTTATTTTGTAAGTTATAAATAACTCTCTCTTAGGAACACAATGATATGTCGCTCCTGTGTCAACTATCCACTCAATGTCGAGATCACTAACATGATTACAATCACCATGTGTACAAATCAAAGTAACTTAATCACTATCTGAATTCACTGCTGCAACATTGCCATCATCTGAACTCTTATTTTTCTCATCTTTTCGCTCTTGCTTCAAGATTTTACAGTTTCATTTTATATGACCTGTCTTATCACAATAGAAATACTTCACTTTAACTCTAGACTTGGATCTATTATTAGACTTACCACGACCTTTTGAGTCCTGGCCTCTATCGATGTTTCTACCCCTGTTCTCTGTGACCAGAGCTTGATTCTCAGAGTTTACATCTTTTCGCCTTACTTCTTCATTAAGCATACTATCTTTTATCATCTTCAATGTCACCTTATAATCAGAAGCTGAATTAAGAACAGTCACAACTAGAGTATTCCAACTGTCTAGCAATGAACATAAAAAAAATAACACATTCATTTCATCATCTATCTTAAGCTCCATAGTAGTCATCCGATTAAATATATCTTGAAAATCACTCAAGTGCTCTGTAACAGATCGTCCATCCATGTACTGTAAAGTTGCAAGCTTTTTAATAAGCCTAACTTTATTCATACCTGTTTTTCTCTCATACAATGCTGCCAATTTTTCTCAAACAATATGAGCATCTGACTCCTGCGTTACATGATGGAACACGCTGATATCAACCCATTTTTTGATTGTAGCCCAGCGTCTTTCTACCTAGCTTATTCCAGCTTTCATCTTTCATATCTACTGGTTTAACCGAATCACTCAATACTGGCTCATACAAATCTTTGTAGTATAAATGGTCCTCCATCATAGGCATCCAAATTGAATAATTCGATGTTGTTAATTTTATCATGGAACCTGTATCACCCTCCATAATCTCAAACAAAATTTACTTCTATCCTTGGTTGCTTTTGTATCGATGTCTCAAAATAACCCTCACTCTGATACCACTTGTTGCGCTTGAAACAATAATCACAATAATACAGAAGCAATAAACAACAATCAATAATAAAAAATGCAAAAAAAATAAAAGCACACCAAGATTTACGTGAAAAAACCCTCAGTGTAGAGGGAAAAAATCATGAACCACCAGAAAAATCTTCACTATCAAATAATAGGTATACAAAGTTCTTCTTTAGCTAAAACTAGAGCTATTCAACAACTAAAGAAATAATTGGAGAAATCTCACCAAATAAGTGACTCAACAAATACACCTTAGATTTGTTCCTAGAGAGCTTCAAACCCGATCTTCACCGTTCAGAATGTAGAACTCTGAATCATAAACCTCTTGACAAGGTTCCAACTCAATCGAACAACGGATCGACTTTTGTTCAACCAACTCTCCCTTCTCTTTTTTCTTTCTGTTTTTTTTTTTGCTTTTCTTTCTTCTCTACTTTGTTTTCGATACACACTTAAAACAATCCTACCTCTTTTTTATTAAGTAGCTAGGGCTCTGTGTAAAATGAAGAATTAAAGCCCATGACTTTTACTTAGTTCAAAACCACTTACATGATGCTGGACTCTATTTTCCTAACAAATTGATCAAGTTAATTCAAGCACTCAAGAAATGAATACTTTTAAAATCCTAGGTAAACTTTACGAGTTGAAATTTATGCATATAGCTTACTTTCTCTGGGAATTAAAGTGATATTTACCATTTTTTATCTTTCTTTTTGTTTTTCTAGCACATGAGCAAAATATGTTGTATTTGCTTCTACAATCAATTTAATTAGGGGAAAATTCACTTACTTTAATTTAGTGTAAAGTTAAATAATTTTATTATAAATTAAAAAGAATGTTAATCAATGCCACTAAGCACTAGTTAAGGTGAGATTTTCTTTAAAAAATTACAATTAATTTATTATTTTTTCTTAAATTCAATGATAACAAAGAGTTAAATGTAAAATTTTTTTAAAAAATAATTTCATTAATTTTAACCGAATTCTATACACATTTGTTAACCAAACCCATTAATTAATTGCTACTGTATCATGTGTTTTTAATCTCCTAACTAGATGATATCATTTGTCTCCAAGATCACATCAATTTTCATGCTATTTATTTATTGTTTAATTTAATACATTTATTAATCTTAAAGTAATTGGATAATTTTGTCAATCATCTCATCTCTTGTGGGCCAAATGGGTCAAGACACTACAACAACCCACGAAATTTAAATATATATGTGCAATTTTGATTTTGTGTTGTCCTTTCCTTTTTGTTTCCACTCTCGAAACACTCTTGTTGGAATCTAAGACTTCATAATCATAGTGTCGTTTTCCTTTTTGTTGAATTTTTTAAATTATAAAAGTTAACAGCATTTTAATTTGAGGTGATCAGATTAATTGCTTAATATATTGATCGAATATCAAATTTTCAATTTTAATAATTAAAATTTTAAATTTTAACAATTTCAAATATAAAAAAGAAAAAATTTAAGCCATCATGTACCAAAAAAAATAAATTGTTGCCAAAGAGTTTTTTTTTTTTTTCGTCGTCTAAGACAATTAGTTAATTAATTAAACTACATGGGTTAGTTTTTTATTTTTTATTATTATGCAAAGAGTATTATAATTCTAAATTAGGTAACACTCAAGTTTTAATTCAAATGATGTTTAGTAGCTTTGCATTAGCAATAAAAAGAAGATAAGATTCGAGTTTTAACTTTACAAGAAAGCAATCAAGTTATTGCAACTATAGTACTATAAAAATTTTCATAATAAGACAATGTGATTATCCTCATGCTTCTATCAAAGTTCGGCCCCTTGCATGATTGAGCAATTTGATGGCATGCGGCTAGCTATAAAATAGGAGTAATACCTTAAACAATTACAATTTGGTTATTTATGTATTTTATTGACTTATTTTGGCTATTGTTGATCCCTACTTTAACAACATGATTTTTTTCGTTCACTATCAAATTTAATATTCAATTACCGGTTAATTTGTTTTGTATTTGTGAATAATCTCAAAAATAAAAATAAAAGCATTAGGAGTCTTAATTTAAAAATAAGAGAAATTGCAAGTATTGATATTTTAATTTTAAAATTATTAGATATTATTTTTTAAAAATGATTACATAAATTAATTTAATTAAAATTCTATTCATTCAAGGTTTCTTTTACTACTTCTTAAACAAATATTTGATGTATTACTAGTATATAAATATCATCTCTTCATATAATATTATTTTATTAATAAATAAATATGAAATTTTTTACTCTAGAGTGATCAAATATGACCTGGTTAAATCAAGTAATTCCAAAGTGAAATTAGACAAAACGATTAAGAGGATAAAAGGGACCGATTTTAGACAAATACACATGAATTGAATGCATATTAAAAATTTTCTAATTATTTCATTATAGGATTAAACAATAAGAGTTGACAATAACCATACATTACAAATTGATAAAAAATTTTACAAACGAAATTAGTTAATTAGCAGCTTTAAACGGGACAAGTTCCACTTTGGCCACCAATATGCATTTGATGGTTCACAAGTTGCAACAAAGTAATCATTTGGAGAGGAATCCCCAAGGATTTTTGGGAAGAAAGAAACTCTTTGCACACTTGTTCCATCATTGGTCGAGACTTTGGTTTTGTATGTAAGCAAGCAAATGCCAGAGTAGCAGCGTAAACAATATTTTGTGCAACCAGTTGGCTTGTTGGAGGTGGTAGACGTTTGTCTAACACATCAATTAGCTTGATATTTTGCAAAGAAGATGGCGATGACAATGATGATGACAAAAGTTCTCCAGGATGCTTTCCCATTAATGTTTCTAATGCCAACATCCCGAAACTATAGACATCATATTTTTCGGTCACAATCATTGTATGGGCCAGTTCTGCATAAAAAATTACATGCGTGAAAAAGATACAATAAAAAGATAATTAGTAATAATATTTTCTTATTATTTTAAATCGTTATCTATTAAATTTTGAAACAGATAATTAACCTAAAATTAATTGACAATAAATATATAAATAATTGTTATATTTATATGTTCAGGATTGATGTGATAATTTTTTTATCATCACTCAAATACTATAACACTGAAAAAAAATAATATAATCGAAAGAGAACCAATATGGAAAAACAATGAAAAAAAATAACCTGGGGCTAAATAGCCGTATGTACCGGCAAGAACTGTCACATTAGATGACTCAAGATGTAGTATTGTAGCTATTCCAAAATCAGCCACAAAAGCCTCCAAGCTTGAGTTTAGTAAAATATTGTTACTTGAAATGTCTCGATGAACAATTGGGGGGGCGCAATCATGGTGCAAGTAAGACAAGGCATGAGCAACGGATTTGACGATCTCAACTCTTTTTATCCAATTCAACTCCACAGCTTCATCATCATTACTTAGGATGCTAAACAAGCTTCCTCTCTCCATGTATTCATAAATCAGAAACATGCACCGTTGGTGTAGACAATATCCGTGAAGCTTTACAATATTTCGATGTCGAATTTCCGATAAAATTTTCACTTCATTCCTGAAACTCTTGTCAACCCGAATCCTCAGCTTCAAGGCGATGAAGTTTTTTCAAAGCAACTATTTTACCACAAGGTAGTTGTGCTTTGTAAACACTTCCATAACCCCCAGTTCCAATGCAGTATCGAATATCAAAATCTTCTGTTGCTGCAATAATGTCTTCATATGCTATCTTTCCATCAAAGTTCCATATTGAGAACAAATCCCCATTTTTTGTTGTTTGTGAACCAGATTGGTCCTTTTTGGCCTTGAACCGCTGCAAAAACAAACACCCTAGAATAGAAAAAGTAGAGAATATGGCAATAGGTAGGAATATTTTTGTGAAGTAAGGAGTTTTACTGCTCTTGGTTTGAATGGTTGGTGAATCACAGGGGTAGGGTGATAAATCCTTGTTGCCTTCAAATGGATAGGGATAGATAGTCTTACAACCATTACCGGTATCAATAATCCGGAGTTTAGTGGCACCCAGGTCAGGAATTTGACCTGAGAGTTTGTTGTAGCTGAGATTTAAAAATTGTAGCTTCGAAAACTTGGCTAGCAGAGGAGGGATCTCCCCCTCTAAATTATTGCCACTTTGGTCCAATGCAGACAAATTTAAGCAACTCCCAATTTGATAAGGGATGTACCCCTCTAAATTGTTGTTGCTTAGGTCCAATCCCTGCAAATTTGAGCAACTCCCAATGAGCGGAGGGATGTATGCCTCTAAATTATTGTTGCTTAGGTCCAATCTCTGCAAATTTAAGCAACTCCCAATTTCAGGAGGGATGTACCCCTCTAAATTGTTGTTGTTTAGGTACAAATAGGATAAATATAAGCAATTCCCAATTTGTAAAGGTATGGAACCACTCAATTTGTTTTCAGAGATGACTAATAGATATAGTGCTTCTAAATTCCCAATTTCTTTTGGTATAGGACCTTCCAGAAGATTTGAATCAAGGGACAAAAATTGCAATTTTGATAAATTACCAATAGAAGAAGGGATAAGGCCATTGAGGTTGTTACCATCGAAATTTAGAGATTCGAGGTTGTTAAGCTTTCCTATCTCTGAAGGAATGGAACCATTGATTTCATTTTGGTCGAAGTAAACTTCTTCCAATTTTGTCAAACGACATAAAGCTAGAGGAATAAGACCAGAAAATCTATTATTAGTGATGCTTAAAAACCTGAGATTCTTCAAATTTTCAATATTTTGAGGGATGAAACCCTCAATTTGGTTATTATCAAGGTAGAGATCAGACAAATTGGTTAATTGATATAAAGTGGAAGGCATTGGACCAACAACTTTGTTGTCTTGGAGGTATAAAACAACTAAATTCCTTAGATTTCCAATTTCTGAAGGGAGGGCGCCGCCAAAACAGTTGGCACTCAAATTTAAACTAACAAGGTTTTGTTGCGCTTGAAGCAATAATCACAACAATACAAAAGCAATAGACAACAATCAATAATTAAATACGCAGGAAAAATAAAGCACACCAAGATTTACGTGAAAAACCCTCCAGTGTAGAGGGAAAAAATCACGGGCCACCATAAAAATCTTCACTATCAAATAATAGTTATACAAAGTTCTTCTCTAGCTAAAACTAGAGCTAATCAACAACTAGAGAAACAATTGGAGAAATCTCACCAAATAAGTGACTCAACAAATACACCTTGGATTTGTTCTTAGAGAGCTTCAAACCCGATCTTTACCGTCCAGAATGTAGAACTCTGAATCATAAACATCCTGACAAGGTTCCAACTCAATCGGACCATGGATCGACTTCTGTTCAACCAACTCTCCCTTCTCATTTTTCTCTCTATGCTTTTCCTGGCTTTTCTTTTTTCTCTGCTTGGTTTTCGACACACACCTAAAATAACCCCACATCCTTTTTATTAAGTAGCTAGGGCTCTGTGTAAAATAAAAGATCAAAGCCCATGGCCTTTACTTGGTCCAAAATCACTTACATGGGACTGGACCCTATTTTCCTAACAATCTCCCCCTCCAGCCCCATTAGGAGGAGATTTATCACCATAGTAGTTTCATTTGGAACTTACCTTGGCCAGGGAACTTATTCCGGCCAAGTTACTACAAAGCTCAAGCTTTTTCCTGAAAAGTTTAACAAGATCATAAGTACCATTCTTTCGCAATAACTCTATCTCTTCTTTCATTGCTTTTAACCAATGCTCTCTATCCGGAGTAGCCTGCACATCTTGAAAGCTTTCCGGCTCCCCTTCACTAGTAACTAAAATAAAATATAAACTTGGATACCTGGTAGATGGTCTGTGTTCTCTAGTAGATCTCCTGGGCTGAGACTCTACATCACTTGATGCCGAAGGTAACTCCCCCTGCTCAACACTCTCAGGTAGAGAGGATTGCTCCCCCTGCTCAAAACTAATAGCATCTGGCTCATCACCAACTGTGGCTGGCTCATTCATATCCCCAAGTTCTATTTCTTGCTCATTTTCACCATCTGTGGCTCTTTCCTGTGGAATCCCTATCGGTGTTGAAACATCACACTCAATAGTAACTCGTGTAGTCTTCTCATTTTTCTCAAGGTCTGCTATGATTTCTTTTTCATGAAAGACCACATCTCTGCTTCTGATTGTCTTTCTCTTTACTGGATCTCATACCCTGTAACCAAATTCTTCATCACCGTATCCCACAAACACACATTGTGTGGCTTTATTGTCAAGCTTTGATCTCTGCTCTTTCGGTACATGCATGAATGCTTTACACCTAAAAACTTTCAAATGAGAGTATGAAGTATCTTTTTCTGTCCACACTCTTTCTGGAATGTCAAAGCCCAAAGGAACTGATGGTGACCTGTTAAGTAAATAACAAGCTGTGTTGACTGCTTCACCCCATAATGACTTTGGTAATTTTGTCATCCTCAACATACATCTGACTTTTTCCACAATAGTGCGATTCATTCTTTCAGCTATATCATTATGCTACAGTGTTCCAGGTTCTGTCCTCTCATGCCCGATCCCATGCTTTGAGCAATACTCTTCAAAGCCTTTAGATGTGTATTCTCCACCATTATCAGTTCGAATACACTTCAAGGGTAACCCTGTCATCCTTTCAACCATGGTATGAAATTTTTGAAAATACTGTAGTACCTGACTTTTGTATTTCAACATATACACCCAAGTCTTACGTGAAGCATCATCAATAAAAGTAACAAAATATCTACTACCACCTAATGACTCAACCTCAATGGGACCACATACGTAAGAATAAATTAATTCCAATCTATTTTCTTTTCTTCGAGAACTTTTACGAAAATAACTCTATGATGCTTACCAAACAAATAATAATCACATGAATCGAGAGACATACCTTTGGTCAAGGGAATGAGAGACTGCCTTGCCAAAACCTGTAACCCTTTTTCACTCATGTGTGCCAGCCTCCTGTGCCACAAGTTTACTGAAACATCATTTTCAACGGTATTTACCTGGTTACCGTTCAATTGCATCCATGTCTTATACATTGTGCAGCATAATTTTCCCCTTGCAACTATCATAGATCCTTTGAGAAGCTTTCATTGTCCATTCTTTTGTTGGCTTTCATATCCCTCCTTATCAAGGACATTAATAGTAAGCAAGTTCATTCTCATATCTGAAATGTGTCTGACATCCCTCAAAGTCAACATGCAGCCTGTACTAGTTTGTACAACAATATCACCAATCCTAACAATCTGTGACATACTCTTGTTTCCCATCTTGGTACAACCAAAGTCTCCTGCTTTGTAAGTTGTAAACAATTCTCTCTTAGGAATACAATGATATGCCGCTCCTGTGTCAACTATCCACTCAATGTCGGGATCACTAACATGATTGCAATCACCATGTGTACAAATCAAAGTAACTGAATCACTATCTGAATTCACTACTGCAACATTGCTATCATCTGAACTCTTGCCTTTCTCATCTTTTCACTCTTGCTTCAAGATTTTACAGTTTCGTTTTATATGACCCGCCTTACTACAATGGAAACACTTCACTTTACCTCTAGACTTGGATCTATGTTTAGACTTACAAGTTGCAATCTTTTTAACAAGCATAACTTTATTCATACCTATTTTTCTCTCATACAATGCTGCCAATTTTTCCCAAACAATGTGAGCATCTGACTCCTGCACTATATGATGGAACACGCTGATATCAATCCATTTTCTGATTGTAGCCAGTGTCTTTCTACCTAGCTTCTTTCAGCTTTCATCTTTCATATCTGTTGGTTTAGCCAAATCACCCAATACTGGCTCATACAAATCTTTGCAGTATAGATGATCCTCTATCATAAGCTTCCAAATTGAATAATTCAATGCTGTCAATTTTATCATGGAACTTGTATCACCCTCCATGATCTCAAACAGAATTTACTTCTATCCCGGGTTGCTTCTGTATCGATGTCTCAAAATAACTATCGCTCTGATACCACTTGTTACGCCTGAAGCAATAATCACAACAATACATAAGCAATAGACAACAATCAATAATCAAATACGCAGGAAAAATAAAGCACACCAAGATTTACGTGGAAAACCCTCCAGTGTAGAGAGAAAAAACCACAGACCACCAAAAAAATCTTTACTATCAAATAATAGTTATACAAAGTTCTTCTCTAGCTAAAACTAGAGCTAATCAACAACTAGAGATATAATAGGAGAAATCTCACCAAATAAGTGACTCAACAAATACACCTTAGATTTGTTCCTAGAGAGCTTCAAACCCGATCTTCATCGTTCAGAATGTAGAACTTTGAATCATAAACCTCCTGACAAGATTCCAACTCAATCGGACCACGGATCGACTTCCGTTCAACCAACTCTCCCTTCTCTTTTTTCTCTCTCTACTTTTCCTGACTTTTCTTCTTTCTCTACTTGGTTTTCGACACACACTTAAAACAACCCCATCTCTTTTTTATTAAGTAGTTAGGGCTCTGTGTAAAATAAAAGATCAAGGCCCATGGCCTTTACTTGGTCCAAAACCACTTACATGGGACTAGACCCCATTTTCTTAACAGGTTTTTCAAATTCCCTAGTTGTGGAGGATGGAACCATTAATGTTATAATTATAGGAAATGTCAAGAAATTCTAGTTGGGTTAGGTTCCCAAGGGAAGAAGGTAACTCACCAGATAACTCACAGTAGGACAAGTCCAGGTACCTCAATGCGGAGAGATCACCTATCTGAGGCGGGATATTTCCACCAAGTTTACGATCTCTAAGATCGAGAAGGAGAAGATTTGGAAATGAAGAGAAATTCAAATTTCCAAATCTATCACCAATCTGAATCACATCAGGAGATGGGTTGATTTTGGTGATGCTTCCTGCATTGTTGCATGAAATACCGTGCCACTTGCAACGTTGTGAAGTATCGTTGCTATAGCTACTCCACCAGCCACTCTCTAGTAAAGCCACAGCTTCTGATTCCAGTGAAGATCCTGCTACTAAAAGGGTTGTAGCAAAGGAAAGAAGGATGGTACTTGACAACACCCCTAGAAAAATGGAATTGGTTAAGGATAAGGCCATGTCTATCTAGCTTGAATATCCGGTAAAGGTTCAGTTGTAGCATGTTATGATTTCCAGATACTAATGAATTTATAAGAAGATGAAGTAGTCAATGTCTTCTTGTATTTTTTGTTATTCAATTGTTGTCATTGATTGTTCTGTAGATGTCATGAACTTATACATATGAATAATGCATTTTCCCAGCAATATGGTGCATAGACTTGCAATAACGTGTTTAGATTACTTGAAGAAGACAGGTATATTTCCCCGTTGCTAGCTAATCTTTAAAGTATCTTTACCAATCTAAAAGACTCAATCCTCTCTTTGATTTTAATACTTCAACAGTTCTTTCTTTTCTTTTGTTTTCAGCGATAAAATTAAAGTTTTTTTTTATATAAAATTAAGATGTAATTTATATTAAAAATTATTTTTTTAATAAAAATTATAATAAATTAAATTTGAATCAATGAATCAAATAAAAATTACACATATTTTTCGGATTGAGATTAAATGCCAAAAATAATAATAGAAAATCAAGATAGAGTATATTCGAGTGAAACAATTAAAATGTTAAGTCAGAGTCAATGTGAGAAAAAACACTTCGGTCTCATCCCTTTTGCTATCCTTAATTTTTAAGGCATGCCATCCCATTTATTTGTTTTATTCTTTCTTGTTTTTTATTCTCCTTACAAAGGAAGCAAAAATATGTACCTGCAACAGCCATATTTGTCATACGTTTTCCATTGAACAGGAGTACAAGTTTATTGACTACTATTCATTTCAAATAGAAAAGAAAACACGTTGGATCAAAGTGGAGAATTTCTATCTTCCGTAGCAGCCAAATAAACAAGATCATTTCACACATTGTAGCATTGTGTTTAGATGAGTGCAAGCAACAGCCACATTTCTCATGTCTTCTATCTCTAAAAGCTAATGTTAAGTTAGAAGAGGATCCAATGTCGATTTGCTTTTGCTTGGATGTTTACTTAAAGTCTCCTTTTCTAATTGATTAATAATATTATTGCAAAGAAAGTTCAAAGAAAGGACAACATGTACTTGCTCTTTCTTCTCCACCATACAATTTCTTCAATTTGCATGTATTTTTTATAATTGAAATGTTACCAATTTTATTCTATGTATAATAAGCTTCTAGTAAATAGCACAGATGAAATGTTATGTAAAAACTGGAAATTTGTCTTTCAAAATATTTTAGACATTGTCTCCATTATTTTTTTTTTTGGATAATTGATAATTGTATTAAAATCCAAAAAAAAGAAGCAGATGTTAGTTCGCTACACGAAAACATTAAGAGTCGAAGTCTTACCAAAATTAAACAAAACAAAATAATAATGATAAAAAATAACCAATTTTTGGAGTCGAAGTCTTTTCTTTTATCTTTCTTCGAAATGTTCTATCTTTCAAACGAGATAAGCCCATGCAGAGGGTCATATTAAATGTGGTAACCATTCATACTGATTAACTTTGAAGTGTTCTATATTCTAGGAATTAAGCAATAATACTAGCTAGTTCTCAGTAACAACAAACCTTAAGTGTCTTTAACGTCTATTGACTTGGAATGGGAAACAGAATCCATTGGACCAAAGTGGAGAATTTTTTTCCTTGATGGTATGGACAAAGAACAATTTTATTTTCCCTGTATTTTGGTGCATGTTCTTCTGCACTTTCCAACCTTTTTTTTTTCTTACTTCTAGAGTACTTTAGAAAGCAAGAAAACTGATTACTAAAGGTCTCTTCTTTCATGTTTTCTATACATTAATTGCAAAGAAAATTCCAAGGTCTCTCCCTTTTCCAATTCTCTGTTTTGAATCTCGCTTCCTCCTCCTAGGCAGAAAATTTTGTGATAGGAATTCAACCTAAAATTAACTAATAATAAGACGATAATTCAATTTAACAATTTTTTAATATACCTCAACTAATTATTTGTTGAAACAAGTTTTTTGATAATACCATTTAAACCATCTTGATAGAAATGTTTATGCTCTTACACATTTGTGGTATGCCATTGATGATATAAGAGATGATGTTGGTATAATATAGTACAAACTCTTGAAAATTGGAACTTTTGATTTTATGATACTACAATATTGCCAAACGCAATGAATGATGGCAAAAAGGCAAGAGAAAAAAGCACAATGAAACACATAATTCTTTTCAATTTAAAATTGGAGCTCATCATTCATGTTTATGGTCTTACAAAATTGTGGTAAGTCAAGGTGAAACGGGTCGTTGGGTCGGGTGCACGAACTCTGGGTCAAGTCAAGGGCTAACGCACAGATTCTTGGGTCAAAACAATGTCGTTTTGACTCTTTAATGAAACATTGTCGTTTTTGCTTTCAACCTTTTATAAAAGTCAAAAAAAAATTTTCTCTCATTTTCTCTTCTCCCTTTATCTCTCTACATTCTCAAACCCTCTCTCTCTAGAACCTGTTGGCGGTGGTTGTCCATCATATCTGCCACTATCTTTAGTCACCGGTTGCCGGTCACCGATGATTGAAAAATCATTAAAGCCTCTAAAAAGTTCTTTGTATCCTCCTGAACTTCAATTCGGCCTTCCTTTCACTATAAACTGCCTCGATCGATGTAGTTCGGGGTTTGAAAGTTTTTATTTCTTTTTTTTTGTAAAACGAAGAATGATATATTTTTTGTTTTTGCAAGAGCCTTCGGCGCTGAGGTTCCTCCTTGCAGGGAGGATTGTGTTTGTTTTTATTTTTTTTGTTTGCATGCTATTTTTTTTTTGTATGAGTGTGTATTATTTTTTTCTGTTGTGTTTGGGGTGTGTTTAGTGCGAGAAGGATACAGGGGCACGACTAGGATTGGTGGGCTTGGGATTCATAATTGGGTGGTGTTGTGGTGGTTTTGAGCACGAGTTTATGGATACTGAGTTTAGGAAATGAAGGTACAGGCTGTATGCCAAGACTCTCCAGCTGGGGGTTCTCTAGAATGGGCTAGTGTTTGGGGGTAGAACACAGAGACTCATAGGGATCCCTTTTGATTAGGAGTTCAAACTGGTTTTTGTAGAGATCTAGGATTGACATGGTATGAGGCTGTGGCATAGTGGTTCATGATGTATGATGGGGTGGATAAAGTTTGTAGGGTATGGGTGACCAGAGGGATGAGTGGCCAGTGGTGCCGTGCAAAGCACCACTGCCATCAAACCCTTTTTTTTTATTTTTTTTGTATTTTTGGGTTTTGTATTTTTCTTTTTTTATATTTTTGTTTAATTAATAAATTAATAAAATAAAAGGTAAACAGGCTTTGGGCTTAAATGATATTGGACTTTTGATTGGGCCTAAAGCCCAATCGAATTGAAATTGGGTCTCGGCCCAATTGAATTGCAATCAAAACTTAGTTCGAGAACCTGATATCTGATAAATATTCAATCAAGACACGATTAACATATGGACAAATTTGGTGTCTACAATACCTAACTTGAATAGCTCTCGAGTCTAATCGAGCTTTTATTTTTAATATATTTTTTTTATTTTAATTAATAAAATATCTCAAATTCAAACACAAATAATCGAGATTTTGTCAAATATAAAAATGAAAATTATTTTTACATATTAATCGAACCTAATTGAGCAAGCTTGAGTAACTCGATTTCTATCTTGAGTCGTGTAAACACCATTTTTTTATTTTTTTATTATTATTATTATTTATTTATTTATTTAATTTTTTTCTTTCTTTTTCTTTTTCCCGCTTTCTGCATTTGTCTTTTTCTCTTTTCTTCTTCTTTCTTTCCTTCTTCCTTTTCCTTTTTTCTTCATCCTTATCCAGTTCAAATCTAGTGCATTAAATGCACAATCCCTAAAGTCAAAATCATCGCCACTAGCTGCCAACGGTCGATCGACAAGCCGTCAATCACGAACGGCAGGTTTGATTTTTCAGTTGAAAAATGATATTCGAATCCCAAAAGATCTGGGATTTGAATCCCAATAAGCTCTATAAATAGAGCTTGCAAACCAGAGACAGAACGGAAGCAAAAACAACAAAAAAAAAATCTATCGAAAAAATTTTGAAAAAAAAAAGCAAAATAACAGTCCCCTGGAATGGGGAACCCAGCACCAAACTACACCTACAAAGACACCCAACAAAAACAAACCAGAAAACACACAAACAAGAAAAATGTTTTTTTCATCGAAACTTTGAGAGCAGATCTAAGAAGGTGGGGATTTTTTTTTGTGAAAAGAAGGTCAGATCTGAGCTCAGGAGGTCGAGAAGAGTTCGTGAGAATTTTTTTTTGAAATTTTTTGGCACTGTTGACGGTGGCCGGAGTTCGCCGCCGGCAAGGACCACGGTGGCCGTCACGGTCCCAGGTCGCCTGAAAAAACAGAGGAAGAAAGGTTTTTTTTTTTCGAAAGAAGGAAAGAATGAGTGAAAAAAAATTGTGAACCTTTTATATAAACGCTCAAAACCAAAACGATGTCGTTTCATTAAAGGCCAAAACGACGTCGTTTTAACCGTTGAGAATCCGTGCATCAACCCATGACCCAACCGAGGGCCACCACCCGACCCGCGACTCGCTTCCTTTATCAGTCTCTGATCGGTTTGATTGGACCGAAATCGAACCGTTCAGATCGAACCGAACCGATACTGAATCGCCCAGATCAAGTCGAACCGTCGGACCGAACCGTCGAGCCGAACCACGCGTTGACCAGACTGTTGACCGGTCCGATTCAGGTAAAAAAATTTTTTTTTTGAATTTTTCTTATTTTTTATATATTATTTTATTAATATTTATGCATATTAAAATATTTATATTTGTCAGATTAAATGATGAAATTGTGGTTAAATTTTTTTATATAATTATGTTAATTTGTTAAAATAAACTTTAAAAATAATAATATAAAAATAAATTTAATAATAATACTAAAATAATAAAAAATGTAGGAAAAGAAAATTTTTATCCGACGATGAGATTCAAAGGTATTCCGAGTAGTGATACATACGAAATCTCTAAGTGAGAAGATTTTTTTAAAATACTATCAGTGTATTGGAGT